GGGGGGGGGGGGGGGGGGGGGGTGCAACACCCCTGATAATTGTTCATGAGGAATTTCAGGTAGATTTCCAGTGGGTAATCAGGTAAATTTTCAGGGGAATTCAGGTAATTCTCGGGACATGAGAAAGTGAATTTGGAAAATAACTGTATTTTCGAAAAATTATTAATTTATATGTCCTGAAAATTTTTTGTACATCTGGAAAGATATTGGTAACCATTTCTATCTACCCTTCTATCTAACCTCGCACACCCCCTGAGACGAAGTGCTCGCAACGGCACTGAGTATACATATTTTGAAAACAGGCGAGTGGTTATTGCATGCATGTATTTCTAGTAGTTTTTTAATTAGGTTTTAAACAATTTTTTCATTACCAATTAGGTGTTGTGTGTCGAAAGAGAGATATTAGACGATATCATGGCCAGGAATGACGGACATTGTGCAAGCGTACCAGTCTGTCAGCGACTTTTCCGTTTATCCACAAGAATTCCTAATTATCCTTTTACGACCTATCAAAGCATCCGGAATTTCAAATATTCGCGTGGGTGTTGTTTATAAAGGAAAGCATGAAGTATGCACTCAAGTTGTGGCCTTTAGTTTACCAGGCTCAGGGTGTAGCTAAGCAATGACTACGGGAACGAAAAGAGAAGCTTTCGACGGGTATTTTGGTACCAAACATGTAGCAAGGCAATCAATATTTCGAGTTTGGCAAGCGAATGGAATATCACTTTTCGACCGCGAAGTTATATTATAATATGCATATTAACGCACCGGCTTGCGAATTTCAAAACAAAAAAGCAGAGCTTTTATCGGGTGTAACAAAATAATAAACGGCGGAAGGCAAGGCTACACTATTCGTCAAAATAAAATGATTTCAACGAATTTCGATAATTGAATATATTACGAGATATAGCCTTTTGAGCGAGAAACCTTTATAGATTCCTATGTAAAGTGAGTAAAATGTTGTAATATTCAATCGCAAAAAGCAGAGCGAATATGCAAAGAAATAAGAACATTTTTTCTTAATGTGTTACTATACGACCGCTACGTACTTCTGGAACCAATTTCAACAAATATTCAAAGATTTATATATAGCATGTTATATTGAAAATACTCTACTCGCCTGATAATAAACATAGGGCATTGCGCAGCCATTGTTGCGTGGGTGCTCGTGGTAACGTGAAACCTGAGAAATGAAAATGTCCGTGATTTCTGGCCATGGTTATATACACACTGTTTGAAACATTTTTAAAGTGGTTTCAGAAAACAACCCTCCTCCACTCGAAGATTTACTGTTCAAAATAATTTTAGTGGTGAAGATACCATGCAGCAGACCCCAAACTATCCATGCTTGCATAACGTTTTCACAAATTTTGCGGAATTTGCAGTTTAGCGGACATTTTCGAACTGTGTAGTTTTTTATACACCCTAGCTGACTAGCATATGTTTGACATAAGGCCGGCGAGAGCCAACCACGGGCCCCGGGACAAAATGACGAATTGGTGAACACGTGCCCCCTGTCCCTCTCGACTCTCCCGCTGGCGCATGACCACGCCAAAGTCTATTTTTAATCGCAATCAACGAGAGAATTACCAGCGAATTATTTGCAAGAAGTCACCCCATAACTGATAAAAATGCAATAGAACGATGTTCAGCTAACGGTTTTTGCTGAGAAAACGATCGAAAATCGTTTATTTCACATTTGGTATGTTTTACGATCGATCACGACGATCAGCGGGTAGTGTGCAAGCATAGGCGCATTTCATTTAGGACAAATATAAAGCAATGATAAACGATACGAACATTTTACCGATATTTCCCTCTGAGCACTCCGGGCCCCGTGTATTTCCCCCTCCCCTCCCCCCCTCTCGCCGTCCTTGGTTTGACACAAATATACATTTGGCAAAATGTAAGATAGTCAAGATATCAAAGATATCAAAGACGCAAGATATCAAAGAAAATTTAATAAGGGAAAGGGTTTATGGTTGAGAGACTGACAAAATTTATAGACAGAAACAATATATTAACAAAACATCAAAATGGTTTCAGAAAACAATAAACCTACAGAACTTGCAAAAATCAACTTCGTAGATAAAATCAGCAAAGCAATGAACAACTTGCATGTTAGACTAAATTTTAATCTAAGTGAAGAGAAAGGGAACACCACAGCTACACAATGAAATTAGTAAAATTGCAAAATTTGGTTATTAAATGTTGTATAAAGCTTGGAAAATACGGTCTTGCAAAGTTTGCAAATTATGTATATATATTTGTATTACGTGCGGAAATTGTTACCATTTTCGGCTCAAAATGGTAACAATTTCCGTACGTAATACAAACATATTTTAAAAACTTATTAATAATTCAGGAGGAAACCACAAAGAAAAATCATAAGCGTGTCGTGGTTTTATATGTGATAAAAAATCATGTTAATTTACATAAACTTTAGCTTTGATTTTCTCGGTTTAGACAAAGTTTATTTTAAAAATTACTTCGCCAATGAACTCGTATAAGATGAGTTGTTTTTTAAGCCCATGGCCAGAAATTCAGGACAACATGGCGATTGGCATACGCAATGTACTTCCTCATTCATTATTCAAGATGGCTGATTTATATATAGATTAAGTATTGCAAATATATGTTTTAGCAATTTCCAACTTTTTTCGTACATAAATCCGAGCTCTGCACGTCGAAAACATCATTTAATTACTCGATCATTTAACCGAATAAATTTCAGAACAGTTCAAGTAGGACAAACCAGTTCCCGAGAACTATATTCCTACCTTATCTCATCACATATACCAGATAGTCAATTCTCCCAAAATTCGCAAACTGCACATTTTTGGTCAGCATTTTAGGACATTCGTGGGTAGTACATGGAGCTTCTGCACGTCTGCATTGATAAAAGTTGAGTTTATCTTTGTTCTCCAACAGTTTACAAACCCGTAGAGGATGGATAAACAGGTTCCAAAAAGCCACCAAATATATGCTTTTTAGCAAACAGAAAATGTGTACATTGACCGTTGGAATTACCACAAATCACTCGAAAAATTGAAAAAACCCAGCAAATTTGTAAATGTTGATTTTGCTTTAAAATTGTTGCTAGGCAACCTATATGACTGACAATGTGTATTTGTGGGCTCAGTGAGGTTGATTTCGCAATAAAATAGCTCAGATTTCGCGGGAAAATTTGTAAAATGTGGTAAAATTATTTGCAGCAGTTTCTATTTGGGCATCTTTAACAGTTGGAAATTTATTTTAAAATACTTTTCTTTCGTTTACTTGAACATACTGTACCCCAAGTAAGTATTTAAACGGCTTATTGTTGTATTGTGCGTATAAAATTTGCATACGAATACAATGTCGGATACATGCCCGACTGCATTCTATTCTTTCTTGAAATGGAAACTTGGTGAATATGAGCCCGCGCGTCTTTCCGCTGACTGTCCTGAATTTCTGGCCATGCATTTAAAGCACGCGTAGGAGTGTTTTATCACATATAAAACACTCCGCTACGCGTCGTGTTTTATATGTGATAAAACACTCCTACGCGTGCTTTAAATAGTACATAAAATACGCAAACTTCGCAAGGCCATATTTTCCGTTTTTTACAACATTTCGTTTATTTACCGAATTTTGCAATTTCACTAAATTTGATAAGTTAAAGTATATTACGGGAATGTACTTTTTTACTTAGATCAAAAATTATAGTCTAAAGTGCAAGTTGTCTATTGACGAAGGAAAGTTTTCAGTTGGAATTTTCCTGGATCTATGAAGGGCATGTGATACAATTAATCACAAGATTCTGATAAGAAAATTAGATCATTATGCATGGTATAAGGGATTGGATGTGGTCAAAAAATGGTTCGAAAATTATTTATCTAAAACAGAAAACAAATTGTAAAATATGCCGAAGTTCAATCTGAGGAAAAGACTGTTAGAAGTGGTGTCCGACAAGGATCAGTGTTAGGTCCTATATTGTTTATTTTATATCCAGATTATTGCATTAAGGTTGTCCGCCGGCAAAGCTAAAAGATAAAAGCCAAGCGGGAAAAATACGATGGGGTTTAGTATGAATTAAATATTCATCTTGCATATTTATCACACGGAAAAAGCGTAGCCAGAAAGCAATTTGAGTAATGCAGTCCGTTGAGAATGCGACTGAACATATTAATGTAGGAATACGATAAAATTATTTCAGGCAATTCCTCTGTTGACCAGCAAAGATATTATGATCATGAAATTCTCTCACAATGATTCAATCTGCATAACAATTAAATGGTAGAACAAGAATTTAAAGTTTCGTCCCTGCATGGCCGCTTCGCATATAATCGTCTCTTAAAAACAAGTGAAATACCTCTTACGAACAGCACTTACGTTTTGTTTAAAAAATGCCTGGTGAGTATTTTCGGCCATTTTGATCTGCACAAAAATGGCGCAGACATTTGACAGCAAAATATATAATCTTTATAAGTATATGAAAACAGGAAACCTATATGAACGTAATACCTAACGCACGATAGCGTGTCAATTTTGGATTACTTCTTTTATACACTCTCTGTATTGCAGTGCATTAATTTGAGTTTGCATTTAATTCTAATTAAGTATCCCGGCAAAAAAGGCAAGAAACAATTTATGGCACTGGACACAATAAGCAGAAATAATACTGTATTAGACATTTTTTGCATGCTATATTGGTTTGAGGAATGCAATACTTAATAATTTATATTGATGACCAAAACTACAGTCCAGCAACATGAATGTGACTACATAGTCCCCAAAGCCTTAGTCCATGCAAAAATGATAAGTATTAATACTCCATGCTTCAGGAAAACAACCCCTTTGAGCAAAAAGTTGTTGATGGTGTATGATAGACTTGTCAAATACCCCACGTAAACTGACTATATGCACGCTGACGAAAATCGTAGACTGGTGTGGGGCCCCGGCGTGTGGCAACGTTGCGTCGTGAATGTAATTTGTTCAAAGGCAACATAATCTACTTAAGGAATGAAGCACGATATGGCACATGGGATTAGCGTGAATCTTTGTTTCAATTGATTTGGGAGGGCATACGCTGCGAACCCGACATTAAAAAATTAGTTCTCATTATTATGAATTGTACAAACCTTTGTAATAATACTAATAATACAAATTAAACTGCAGTTAAGATTGAAAACATATAATTTTTTGTCAGGAAAACTTACAATTCATCAGAACATTGCGATGGCTGCGACATTCGACATCCAGATCCCACGTGAATGGCAATATTATGTGGAGGAATGTTTTTATATGGCTCTTCTCCTAAATGTATTGAATAGTCAGAAAAACGATTAACGAAGGAAAGGCGTTACCGTATGACATACAAATTTAATATTTTCATTATTTATTGCGAAAAATACGAACTCATTATTAATATACAAAAGCTGCCTGTTACCACCAGTATTCACTGCTACATACAATAGCTAGTATATCTTACCTAGAGTTACAATTTCATGAAGAAGAATACCATAGCTCCATCTGCATCAATGAAAACACAAATATTTATATAGCTATGAAGTGATCATTCGAACACACCGTTAAAGTCATGCAGAAATGATGAAAATAATATTTATACAAGAAAGTTGGGACGTCCTGAAAACACCAGGCTTATCTTCACATCACCTCATAAAAATTAAAGTTTGGATGATAGAATGAATATATAAACCTACACATCACTGGCTGCTGTGAAACATCCGTGAAGTAAATTTTCCAATGCCATCCATTTAACAGGAAGTAAATTCTACAAAACAGTATAACCACTTAATAATTAGTAGACTAATCTTTAACGAAACACTTGCATGTATCTTTCCTCAATTGTATAAGTACTATATCTGCGTATTTTAATTAGCCTTTCTCACGCCGCCGTTTTTGGGTGGCTTTTCAGCCGAAGTCTGCGAGGTAAGTCCACATATAACAGCGATTTTTTGGACGGATGATGATAAATTTGCTTTGTAAATGGTTAGTTTATTTTGAAAAATTGCTTTTCACATTGTTTTAATTGTCTGTATTGGTTAACGAGAATCAGATGCCACCCAGAAATGGCGTATATTCGTCATTGTGAGAAAGGCTAATTGGATATTGCGGTTATAGGTTATATAACTTGCATAAAGTGGCGCAATTATAATGGGGTTGATGAAGATTATTATTTTTGATTAACTGTGAAAACCAGACATTACATTATTTTCCTGTATCCGTATCGTGTTTTAACTAATGTCCGTGAATTGTATAAGTTTCGATTTTTAAATTCATGTCCATATCACAGCAAAGCATATCCGATATATTGAACACCGTGCATTATAGAACTTAAATAAAATCCTGAGAAAATTCAATTCTTACACTGCGCTATATCTAGTGTGTTTTGATGTGTGTTTATATATATATAATGCATATTCAAGGTATAAACCGGCACATCCTCTAACAAGCTGAAGACTGTAGCCTACATTCTATGTTATACGGGAGTTTTATGAATTAACTTAAATTAAATTCAATTGCTGATCTTGCCCGTGTACAAAAATGCCAGTATCCATTCTACAAGGTATATTATTAAATAATTTATACCTGATTATTTCGTATGTATTCCTCAGCTCCACTAATATCTCTTGCCAAACCAAAATCAGACACCTTTGCCATATTATCTTCACCAATGAGAATATTTCTAGCGGCCAAATCACGATGAACGAACTGTTAATACAATAATTAATATATATATATATATATATATATATATATATATATATATATATATATATATATATATATATATATATATATATATATATATATATATATATTGCAGAACTAGTATTTTTCGATTGAATTAATATAAACGAGTATGTTTATGACATTCAGTATATATTTCATAATTTCCAGTCTTAAATCCGTCTGACCGTGTAGCTCAGTAGGCAGAGCGTCGATCTAGTAATTCGAAGGTCGCGGGTTCAAGACCCAGCCGCGGCAGACAACATCTTTCTGCTTGCGCTGGGTATGGAAATTATGTAATACACACACTAGAACATTTGCATCTTAATTAATACATATATATATATATATATATATATATATATATATATATATATATATATATATATATATATATATATATATATATATATATATATATATATATATATATATATATATACAGGGTGTATCAAAAAAAGCGCAATCCTCGACTAAAATGTAAATTGCTAAACAAATAATAGACGAAAACTTTAAAGTTTACATTCATTTTAAAGCGTAGCCATTCAGCTTTCTAACAGTGGGTTGTTTCCTAAATTTGACTCATTGGTTCGCGGGTAATAATACTTTACGTTATTGCGATTGGAGATTAAAAAAATTGAGATGGAATAACAAATCGTTCTCATGAAAATAACTGATTTTTCATTAAAACAAACAAATGTTGCATTTTATTAAATGGATTGTAACAATGAGTATAATTTCGGCTTTTCTTCCACTATTTTTAACTCAGTTTGAAACTTCAAATGCGATATTATTTTGGCTTGGACCATCTAAGCTGACTGACATCAACTTGCTATAATTTCTGTTTACATTACATCGCAATTCGATGACACGCTGGCTCAGACACCAGAATGTTTTGACGATTTTAGCATTCGTTTAGGATTTTCAAACAACCTGGTCTCTTTTAAAATACTTTTAATTTGTTCTTACGTGGTTTTCCAGATGTAGTGATGACAACATTAAAGTTTAAAGAAGAAAATTCTAACATTTAAACCGACTAAACAATAACATAGTAAACTTGCATAATTAAACAGGAACTAAAAATGATAGGTTTTACTAAATCTTTTCCTGTGCAATTATTACTAGCATTGGAAACAAGGATAATAGTTTGTTTGAAAGAGAAAAGAACAGGCTTTGAAGTAAGCCTAAAAGCGTTTAACTAGAAATAGTATTTCGAAAGTTATTGAGCACAAAAGATGAATTGCGTTTTTTTTTATACACCCTGTATATATATATATATATATATATATATATATATATATATATATATATATATATATATATATATATATATATATATATATATATATATATAATTCGAAGAAATAAGGTGTTTTCTTCCCGTGAATGCAGAAGGCAGAAGGCTTACAATTACGGCTTCTTTGTCGAAGAATTGGTAATTGCATTTTTGATATACTGGTGTTTCAAGTTCAAGTCTGGCATTCAGTTCGCATGGTCGAATATGTAAGAACCAATAAAAACTAGACATAGTAATGCAGACGAACCAATCATAGCAGATTGTTGTAAAGCAGAATGATGGTAGTGTACATCGAAAGCACTGAAACACGGTTACACATGCTGCAGTTGAGCCTCTTCCCTTTTATGCATTTTTAATAATTATATGTTCATATAGAAAATATAGCTTCTTCCAAGCTTTCCGCGCAATATCTAAATCTGGAGATCAAATAGCAAGCTTTTCGTGCTAGGAATATTCATTTATATATGATGATGTCATCATGCAGTTATAGACTAACACACTTTTAAGTTTTACGGTAGTTCGGTATTTATATTTAGACCAAAATTCCTGATTAATAACCCACCTAACATGATATGGTTAATTCAACCATATAGAGTCTGGTTAATCCCCGAGCCGACGGCGCGAAGCGCCGTGTGAGGGTACTAATTCCCCCCGGCTATTTACACCCAGGGAAACGAAAGCATTAGCGAAGTCTAAATTTCATCGATCATCGCGGGCGTGGCTCACCAACGATGGGTGGTCATCCTCACTGATCTCAAAAATATGGCGGACTGTCATGAATAGCGGACACTGATTGGTCCAATGTAAAGTTTGCATTATAACGACTGCATGACGACAACGGAATAGCAAACATTTCTTGATTTGATGAATGATAAATTTCGTGCAAATATATTTCATTTTTGCTCGCATTTTTGCAAGATTTTGTAAGTTTCAAAAGCTTTCTCAGAAAGAAAGGGCGAAAGAATCGACTAAAAGAAGGGAGCCGACGTTAACGAAGATAAGTTTGTTTTAAATATTGATTTTATAATTGCTCTAAAACCCGACGGCCTTTGCGTATATGAAACAACTAAACAAGACAGCATATAATTTCAGTCTATCTTTAATATTGTTATATGATGAGCAACATCATGTAATTTTGCATATATTAAATATTATTATATATACTATTATTATTATTATACTATATAGCTTATACCTTTTCATATAATAGCTTACATGCATGAGTAAGCACATAGTTCTAAAGATTAGAGAAAACGCCTTGTCCACAAATAACGTCAACGGACATGAATGTGGTTAGAGAACTTTCTACCAACGACCACTGCATTGCGTATATAGGAAATGCGTCAAGATGGCAAAGTCATACATTGATTAATACTATAAAATTAGCTTCACGCATCAGTGAACATCATTATTAGCATTATGATTAAGAATAGAGCAATGATCAAAGATTAAGAAAGAGTACTCCATGGCTGAAGACGAAGCTGCTTTAACGCCCTGATATTAACGTAGAAAGAAAACAGCATGGATATCTTGTGGATATTACGAATTACACTTGAACTGTTGCTATATCAAGTTGCAATTGCTCACTCGGACAGATAAGTTTAATTATAACATATAGCCTAATTAACCTTATTATCATATAAATTAATTAATATAACTAATGCTTTTCTAGTATAAATATATAATATATATATCAAAAAGTAAAATGCTTAGATTTACATTCTTTTGTTGCGAGTAAACAGAACCAGAGCGGCCAGACAAAATAGTAGGGACCGGCTCGTAACAATATTGATTCCATTTTTTATTATATTGATTTTTTTAAATAAAAAGAAAGCAAAGTTATTTGCATGCGAGAATTTGAAATCATTTTATTGCAAACTCAAAGTTTATCGATAAAGCTATTTAATTAAAAGCAGTTTAGTTTTATAAAGAACACTTTAAAACGTTTTGCGAAGCGTTTGTGGTTGAATTTTACCTTATTTTGAAGCTTATATTACGTATAATAACATACCTAACATATATATGTTGGAAAATTGATAATTTTGTAACAAAAAATAATATTTTTAGGCGATTTTTCATTTGTAAGAATATTCTTAAAAAATTATCGTGTTACTATGACAACTACTTTAGATACTTCATATTCGGAAAATGCAATGGTTTTGTCAGCAAGGCGAGGGTTTATGCATGCATGTAATTTAAATTAACCAGGACTCGGGATTAAATTAGCCAGGGGTCGGTTGTTCAAAGCTGAATTACCACTAACCCGGTTAAAATTTAACCTGCTGTTTTAGTTTATATATTTCTGCACGTTAAAACAACTAAATAGCCTACCTTCTGAGAAGAAATATGAACCATTCCGTTTGAAATATCCACAGCAATTTTTAACAATTGACGATGATTTAAAGTTGATGTCATGTTGACATAATTCGATGAGTTTTCAGGTGAAGGATAGACTCTACTGTTGAGTAAAAAATTTCGTAGGTTTCCACCAGGACAGAACTCTATCACCACATGAAGTTTTTCTGAAGTATTATAGAACGTTTTCCATGTCTTTAATAATTCTTAAGATCTTCGCTAACATAGCGTTTATATTCTGTCATCCAGTATATAGTATACAAGGTTTAAAATTCCCAATAATGAAACCTTTATTTTTAAAAACATAGCCTTAATAAATTTCAAAACCTTACTTTCTCCATATTTTACCGTATTTAAAAATGTGATTGATATTTACATACTAGAGATACATGCATAGATTATACCCATCGCACTTTGACACATGATTCGGATCCAAATCACTGTTTGAACCATTTATTTTCGTTTAAAAAGGGCAAAAAATTAGCTAACTACAGAACTTATCATCGATTTTCAAAATTTATAAATAAACTTAAATTTAAGTACTGTTTAATAAACGAGCAGGAGTGTTTTATCAGGTTTAAAGACAAGAGCGCGCAGCGCGTGTGGCTTTAGACCTAATAAAACACGATCTGCGAGTTTATTAAACTGCTTCAAACACGACTACAAATTCAATAGATATACCGCCTTATTAGTATTCTTTATATAAAAACTACTAATGAGAACACGACAACAATAGATACTGCCTTATTAGTATTCTTTATATATAGAATACTAATTAGGAGTGTTTTATCAGGTTTAAAGCCACTGCACGTGACATATTATGGTTGATATGATTTGCCAATAAGCTTATATAATATGAATTATTAATGAGTGTTTGAATGTAATATTACTCCATTTAACGTGGTGTAAACGTGTCGAAGTAAACTGGTGCTATAGATACGGGTATAGACTAAATTTCTAGTTATTTTATCGTTATAACGGTAAAAAATATTAACCAATAGTACTTTTTAAAACCTTTACTGTTATTTAAAAGCTAAAATCTTCCACTGAAATAAAAAGCGTGAGCGTACAAGAAACACTGCGACACTTAAACAGTAAAAATGAACAGGCGGAAAACAGTTCTATTTCTGAATATTAATGAGCTGGTATTTGGATATTTTATTTTCTTTGTTAAGAAATTTATAGTAAAACAATTGTTAACTAATAGTCACTGCAGGTAACTTCGCATTATCAACTATAACAGGCTATAGATATACGACGTCATTAAAATTCTGATGTGCATGCATTAAAAATCAAATCTTTATTCTTTTAATATCTTAGCCGGACATGAGTTGGAGTTAGTTACCAGTCCACTATCTCTGCTTGCCCGTCGAATCCATACAATGTAGAAAACTGTCCAACATCCATGACAATAATGGTAGACAATTTTGCACTTCGCTATATGTTCTCACATACCCGCGCGTTGGGAAATGCCCGTGCGGAATTAGTACCCCCGCCATTGGCGATAATGTCAACTTCATTATTTTTAAGATATTGTGTCCAAAGTCAACACAAATTTGTGATGCATGCTTCTGCGTCAAAACTAAACCTAAGATGGGGGATACTGAACTAATAGCCTTCAGTAAAGTAATTAAAATTTATTAAAATTGAAACGCCTTCAATTTCAAATTAAACTGAATTTGCAAAGTTTCATTGTTTTTTAATTAATCGAAAACACATTACCTGCTATTAAACATCCTCCGATGAATCTAATGACATTGGGGTGTGGAATCTTGTTGATTTCTTTCAAGATATTCAACTCAGATACCAGATCTGAAAGATCAGATTCACTTGCACCATCTAAGAAATAAACACTGGTGAATTGCAGGATGCGAATAAAATATCTAAATTCCTTTGCATACGAAAAATTCTTTCTACATTAATACCATGCCGGAATATCTACAAAAATAAGCATGTCGAGCATTTTATATAGTGACAATTTAAGCCAATTGCACGTGACATAATCACATAAATCGAAATATTTGTACATAATCACATAAATCTAGTCATCAACAAACGTCGTAAAGCGGAAAATAATCGTAGAAACGGTTTAATCAATGGGTAATTTCAATTAGCCATTGAGCTGTAAATAGCTAATTCATAAAAGGTGGCCCTTTGCAAACCTTAAACTCTAAAGCTTAAACTCTAAGCGTGGAAAGCATAATGGGAGAATTATTTAATCAGTTTAGAATTCATTCACAAATACGGCAGCTTCAATAGTTGGCTACTGAGCTGCAAACTTGTGCTCCCATACATTAAGCTTTACGCGCTTACAGTTTTAAAAGGTTTAAGGTTTGGAGGTTAAAATTTGCAAAGGACAACCTCTTTTGAATTGGCTGTATATCACTCGATTTTAACCCATGATCATTTAGTAAAGTACATAAAAACGGCACGTAAAAATCTTCCTTTATTTGTCTTTACAGTGAAAAAAGTGGGTGAATTTTCAGGGGCAGAGTTAATGTGTCTGGATGGACAAATCCGGTTGCCCATCCAGTTTTAGAGCTAAAAATGAACTGAAATAACCTCCAGCTATATCACGTATATAAAAACCGCTTGTGTATTTTTTTAGGAGACCATCCAATTAGAACTAGAAAGTAACGGGTTGGTTGATATAACTAGAAACATCAATAATATCTAATTATACGATAATTTCTTACCTTTTAACATTTTCACAGCAACAGCTTCAGGTTCACTTTCACCAGTTGTTAATAATCCTTGTTTAACAACTCCAAATTTTCCTTTGCCCAGGTTTATTTCCAATACGTTGAGACTGTCTGGCGTAATTTCCCAATCCATCAAAAGCGCCACATAATATAGATTTTCCGATTAATCTAAAATATTTTAATCGTTTTAGTTTGCTTAATTTAAAATCCTATAGAACATCATTTCAAACTATAACGCACTTACAAACTGCAAACCCAAATTTGCTTCCAGGGACGAAACTTGAGAGGGGGTATGGGGGGGGAGGTGACACCCCCCCCCAAAAAAAAAGAAAAAAATTAAATACGAAACATCTGGATTGGCAGGGCGAATCATCTGGATTGGCAGGGCAATCAAATATTTTAAATGATAGAATGTAGAGTTATTAAGTAACTTACGGGGCTTTCAGAGGGAATTGAATATAATTTATAGACCTAAAGTTTACAGATATTTTTCCAAAAAATTTTTTAATGTCTGGAAAATAAAAGTGGCCAGAACTAGAAATTTGCTGCAGGGCATCATCGGTTTTGGCAGGGCAATTCTGGCAGACACCTCCCTAACTAATTAAAAGGGGCTAGTTTCGCCCCTGTTTGCTTCTTCGCACTCTGGTCTTTATGGTTTGGTTTTTCCAGTTACGGTACAGTAGGTATACCAAGAAATATCGCAAATTTCTCTTTATATATGATATTGTCGGCTTTATAGTACTGCATGCTAGAATAACTGTAAGCAAACGTGAAATTGTACCACGTTAGATCAAATTTAACCAACCTGCTTGTGCAGTGGCATTAGGCTGCGACTCTGGCTTTTTGGGGGCTGGTTGTAGTGCATCTACGTTATTTTGTCTTTCCAAGCGACTTGAATGAAATTCCTGCATGTGATAAGATAAGGAAATTATGTTCAGGTAATATTGACCGAGACATTTCTCATAATTATGTAACTATGTAAGTGAGCATGGCAATAAACATTAATTTTGTCTTGTTTGAAAGATCGACCATAATTTTGTTTAAAGTAACCATGTCAAGTGTCAAACACATTCATTGTCAATTCTGAAAGTTACGTTACACCCAAAACATTTTTCAGTATCGCGAAAAACATCAAAACCCAAACAATTAACTCCCAAGCTTGTCTGTGTAAGATTGAGACAGACAAATACAAGCGAGTTGATTGTAGCTGTTGTGGTTTGGGCTAGTGGTCGTTGTGAATAACTAGGTTTTAGTGAGATATATAGAAATTTTCTATAGAACTGGTGTTAGTATTATAATATTAAATTGTAACGAAAATATACAACGTTCATTCTTACCCTTACTGATTCACTATGCCGTCGTTTCAAGATTTTTCTTCGCAGAATAAATAAAACGATCAACACCAGAATAACAAAGAGAATCGCCCCAATCACTGCCCCTGCGGTAAGACCAGCGTTTGAGCTTTTATCATCGGACGGCTCAGCCTGTGTCGTTTGTGTTTCAGCAAGTACAGGATCTGAACTGTTTCCAAATCCAACAATATTGACTGCCTGAATTTTGACTGAATAAGACGTAAATTCGTCTAAAATCAGAATGATTAATTAATCGCACCGAGACGTTTGGAGGGCCGAGGGAAACTCTAAAGATTTTTCGTCGTCAGAGATATTTGCCGTCATACGCTCATGTAGTGCTATAGAAAACTGATTTTTAAATTCCTGAACTTTTAGTACAGTTAGCAGGAGTAGTGCGTCCTTTGGTTTTGAAAGGGGATCGTGACAAATCTAGACTCTCAGAGATGCAAATTCCTGCATTCTATAGGAGAACTTTTAACAAAAATAACTGTATGCACATTACAGCCTATTTCGTTTGGGGAGCCTTTCAGCTGGGTGCCTGGAGGTCGGAGAAAACCGTCCTGTTTTCCCTCCCTCCTGGCACCCTATACAGCTGTATAATGCATTGTGACAACAAAAATTTTTTTCAATACAAACATGTATTGTTAACGTGTACCAATATTCTACACCTTTCTTCCACTAGCATGCGTATCACGTACAATATACTACAATTATAATCTTCAGCTGGTAGCCGTATTCAAAATTATTGCACATTCTTCTAATCAGAGTAATCGGGTGCCATTCTGATACTTCACAACACTTCCGCTGAAGGGCACCAAATTATGATTATGTAAATTTATGCACGCCAGATAATTTGTTTCGATTTGAGTGAATTGGACCTCGATACAAATAAAATGCCAGGACTTAAATTGTAGGAAATGCACATCGAAGTTTGGATTCAAACATCGAATTTGCAATTATTAACTGGGCGTCTCATGGAAGATGGCTTCCCTTTTTTTAATCTTGGGATAATATTTTAACTATGATGTATTGTTTGTAATGGGCAAGCTTAATGGTAACTTAATACTTGCCTAAATATTTTATTACAAAAGGACTTGAGGTGACATTTTCCTTCATATAAATTTCGTTTCTATTACTTCTCCTCCATGACACTATATAATGTTTAATTTCACCATATGGATATTCTGGTGGCAGCCATGACACAGTAAGACTATTTCCTTCAACAATCACCCTGGCACTTCGAGGACTGCTTGGGACTAAACAAAGAGTGAACCAGGATATTTGATTGGCAGGCTTATTAGAGCTAGGTCATGCAAAGTAATAGCTTCAAAATATGAGGGTGCCTTCCTTCGAAAAGCAGGAGTTGACAAAGAGGGTTTTTTGCCCTTCTCTTCTTTGATGAGAATGAACCGCCACCTATAGTATTTTAATGATTTTTTTTAGTGATAAAAATTTTAAAATTGGACTGAAAACAGCAACAAATAGCATTTTTCTTCTCTAAATCATCAACTTGCATCAGCAAAGTATGCATTGTCAGAATACAATGCCAATATATACATACATGTAAGAATTCTTAAGATACGTGCTTCTGTGTTATGTGCTATGTGAGACTAACCAACAATTGATTATCATCTTCTTATATTACGCTGAGTTTTGGACGCGTCGATTTTTTACAAGTAACTTCATCACCATAACGCACCAGCCAGTGGCTTTCACGGGGAGGGGGGAGGGGAGTTCGGCATAACCACAAGATTTGACAAGTACTTGTTTCCTGTGGGCCAGAAATTAATCACGTCATCAGAGATTTTTCCCTGGTTTTTCGCCTTTTCTTTGTTGTGAGGCTCGAATGTCAAATGTCGAGTTGACAAGATGTTGTTGTGCAGTTGGCTATTACGCAATCGGAAACCATGAAGCATTTAAATAAATAACAATTTTACTTATACCGGGGGATTCCTTCAGTGTCGAAACACTGATATCAGTGGAAGTTCGACTATTACCCGAAGAAAAATCGTTTCCGCAGCAATTAATGCTGCTTAGTTTGTCATTGATCGTACTTACTCGAGACTGGTTTGTCAACGAGTTTGTAAGTCAATATAAATCCACTTCCAGAGCCACTCCCGTCCGTCGTAAAATGAAATGAAACATCACCCTCATTGAAGGTATCAGGGCTGCCGGAAGATGATTCACCACACATGAAGTCAAGAACACTGTCGTCAGCAACCTCCAACTTGTCTTTCGAGCACTGGTTAGTTCCGTCTGTAAACAAAATATTTAAAAAATTACAGTTAGTTTGAGTAACAACGACAGCAACCAACATGCAAGCAGGATCAACATAAACAGCCAAAACAACAAAATCAGCATCAGCAATTGCAAAAGAACAACGAAGCAGCAACAACAGCAGGAACAATAACAGCATCCACCACAACAACATCAACAACAGCAACAACAGTAGCCGCAGCATTAACAGCAACAAGAACAACAAGAACAACGCTGTTACTCACTACTTGATATGAATATGCATTGCCTGCTATAACTTCATGATCAAAATAATGTAAAAAACGAATTCCGAATTTGTTTGAAACTTCTATTTGGAGTTTGTCCCCGAGTTAATGGCGCGGAGCGCCGTTCCGGGCGTAAGCCCGGGGCGAGGGTACTAATTCTGCCCGGTTAATTATACTCGGGTATCATTCTCGTATACCCAGAGCCCTTCTTAGGCGCGGTGCGACGAGGGGCTCTGGCCAAATCCATAACCGGATACCATAAAAACATGGTAAGAAAACAATGTCCGGTGTTAGAACTAGCCAATCACATGCCAGTTTGGAATATGGATTTGGCCAGAGCCCCTCGTCGCACCGCGCGTAAGAAGGGCTCTGGGTACGAGAATGACTCGGGTATGTGAAAACATAGCGAAGTTCAAAGTTGTCCTCCATTTGTTTATGTCATGGACGGTTTTCGACGTTATGCGCATGGCTAGAAATTTCATACACTGTGGAGTTAAAGCATGCGCATCGCCGGCATTGGGCACCTAGAAATTAATCCAAAATGGCGTCTTTAGTATAAGATTTAAGCGGAAAATACCCAAAATTAAGAATTTTAGCAATTTATGATTGTAAATTCCAACATGCGAACATCTGAAACATTACCAAATCACACAATATATTATTTGTTATATTATCGGAACAATTCGATCAGGCTGAATGGGTTCCCGAGCTCCTCGTCAACATACTTGTTATTCACTGTATAAAGTCCACTAATTGACAATATTTTGTATTCTGGAGCTGATATTATGGCCATACTTGTATAATATTTCAACCATGCGAACATCAAAATATACTCCCGAATAACGATACTTTTATTCACGCTTGATTTTAAGCCATTTTAGTCCCGTTTAGTAGGTTCCCTAATGTTTTGAAATACGTTGTTTTTGAGGATCATAAGACTGCTATTTTAGACGCCACGATATGCAAAATTTCAAAATATGGTTGTCATTTTCGTATTCATTTCATGATCTTTCCGCCATTGTTGTTGCTCGAAAGCTCTCGAAAGCTGTTGCTATGTTACCGTGGCCTTTACTGCTGACCTATGAGACTGTACCTAAAAAATATTCGCTCAAAGTCGCGGGAAAAATTCAAATTAGATTGTTCACATTATGTTGTTGGGAAATGTGTTGTTGGAAATCACAAATTAGTTTGTGGACTTATTGAAAAATCCCCTTGTTATTTCATTGAGAATCTATCTTGTATGTTGTATTGTATGTATGTATGTATTTAATTTCTTTAGAGACGCTATCCTCATCAGCTATACGGCTGGTTTTCATGAGGGGTGTCTATTTAGCTATTTACAAATATATAAAAATGAAGAAAAAACTGATTAACCCACAGACCCAAAAAGAATATTACCCAGAACATAATGTGTAGTTACAAATGGAACAACAATTAAAAACAAGATTCAAATAAGTCTTTTGAAACAATAAATCGAATGAGCAGACTTAGCCTCAGCAGAAAGACTATTCCACTGGCACAGTACGGCTCCACTATACCTAAAGCTTCTTTTAAGAAATTATTTCTTAGGTTTTGGAAGTGAGAGATCTGTATCATAATTTCTGAGATGATAGTCATTATCATTATCATTATTGCTTCGTGCAGAAAGGAATTCTCGAAGACAAGGGGCAGTACAATTATTAAGTTTTTGTACTTAGATAGTATAAGTTGTTATAACTAATGTGTTATAACCTGTTCTTTATCTGTATTTATATTTAACGTCTTTTTAGGGCTTAGGTGTCAATTGGGACGAGAGTCCTGTTCCTTTCCCCTATCACGATTTGTATCTGTCCTTATTTGTCTTTAATTAGTTTGTATCATGTATAAAGTGACAAATTCATTATATTATTATATATTATTATATTAAGAATGTTGTATACCAGAAACACTTCATTAAATCTAAATCTGTTTTCAAGATTTTTCCAGTTAAGCCGTTCAAGGAGCTCAGAGGAGTTGGTATCATAACTTACTCCCTTACAGCTCTATTTTGGAATCTCTGTAGTTTTTCTTTTAGTACAATTCCGCAATTATCCCACAAAGGGGAGCAATAATCAAAGTATGGCAGAATTAACGCCTTATAGATGATGTGCAGGGTTTCATTGGGGACGAATGGTTTTGTTCGTTTCAAAACTCCTATCCCTGCACCAACCTTTTTACAGATTGCATTAGTGTGAACTTCCCAACGAAGGTGTTCATCCAACTCAACTCCTAAACATCTGGACCGTTTTAATGGTTTATTCTTAAAGGTCACTAAAATATTTGCATAAAGTGTCGAAGTAATTGACATATTTTTAAATATATACATATATCGCGATTTTGAATATTTGAAAAAACAAGCGAAATTAATATATATTACAGTTGATTTTATTTTATTACAGTCGGCTCGGGGATAATTGTTTTTCATTTTAGAAGAACGTATTTTGCTGTTTTGCAGCAACTTTGTTGTTTTAAATTTCGTAAAAAAGTTTACAAAAGTACAAAACGTTTTTGTTTTCGATTTTAACTGGAAATAAGCCAGAAGTCTCTTGAATTAATGGCTGTTCAACCGTGAATCAAAGTTTGTATTAACGAAGTGGCTATTCGTACTGGAGTATGACACCCGATTCTTACAATTCGCAAATTAGTACTATAAAATAGTTTTTTGCTACAGCTTCTAGCGAGCTTGTCGCTAGCGTATTCGGCAATTGGCGTGCGTGCGTGCGTGCGTGCGTGCGTGCCTGCGTGCTTGCTTGCGTGCCTGCGTGCGAAGTGAAAGAGGTCGTGTCCGATTTTAATAGTTTTAGCCGTTGGTTTTCTGTTTGAAATTTTTTTCATGGCTTTTTTTGCTCTCAAATAGTTTATTAGACATTTATTGGTTATGGTTAGAGAAGGGTTTGGGGTTGGGGTCTGTTTATCTTAAATATTCCAACTGCAGTACGAATAGCAAATCAAACTCGGCGTACTGTTCCAGTAGGCAGTACGTTGTATAATAATAATAATAATAATAATAATAATATAATAATATATAAAGATTTATACAGCGCTTAAATTATATAAAATATTCCAAAGCGCTTTACAACAATGAGGTTATACTATATACAAGTAGCTAAAATATTAAGAATTAAGGTATAGGTGTCTATAAATCTAAAAGTTAGAATCGAAAGCTTTCTTAAAAAGGAAAGTCTTTAATTGAGATTTAAAACAGTCAATTGTTTTACTATTTCTAATACCAGAAGGTAGCATGTTCCAAATTGACGGAGCTGCATGCACAAATGCTCGATCACCAAGAGTCTTGGCTCTAGTTTTTGGGATAAAAAGTAGTCCCTGATCATCAGATCTAAGTTGGTAACAGCAGTTCGGTTTTTCTAACAACAGTTCCATAATGTAGCCTGGCGCCATCCCGTGGAGGGCTTTATATACCAGAAGTGCAATTTTAAAATCAACGCGAAACTTGACAGGCAGCCAGTGAAGGTGCATCAGGACAGGGGTAATATGAGCACATCTTGGTATAAGACACGTCACTCTAGCAGCGGCATTGAGAACTCGTTGAAGACGCTGAAGTTGGTATTTGGGAATGCCGAACAAGAGAGAATTGCAGTAGTCCAAGTGTGACGTCACAAAGGCATGTACGAGCGTTTTAGTTGATTCGATGGAGAGAAACTTCCTTATTTGTCGGATGTTGTACAAGCCCCTAAATGCTTTGCTGCAAACCTTGCCCACATGGACATTCATCGACATATGCTCGTCAAACCACGAACCTAGA